AGGGAGGGAGGGCAGGCAGGGACCTGGGAAGACCAGAGACCAGGGAGCGAGAGTGCATGCTACGCAGGCGAGGCAAGGAGGGGTGACCAAGGCGGTGGTGCCACAGGAGAGTGTCGTGCGACAAAGCGCGACACTCGCAGGGGGCCGCCAGCTGACCAGACGCAGACGCAAACGCAGACGCAGCTACCTGAGGGGACTCAGTGGTCAGTGTGTACAGACTCGAGCCAGGTGCACGGGTGAACGTGGCCAAGTGCCGGCCCGTCCTAGCACACGTACAGTGAGTCACTCGCTGACTCGCAGGAGTGAACTGGTGAACCCCCCCATCCTGGAGGTCAGCTCCACTCACCAAGTTCGTAGAGAACGAGGGGAGGTAAAGACCTGACAGCGAGCCGGACGGGACGGCCGGACACGGCAGAACCGTGGAATAGTGGGCAAGGACTGGACCCCCAGAGGGGTCCGCCAGGGAGACCGGGACTGGCCGACGGAGCGGCGTGAGTGCGGTGCAGTCGCGAAAGAAGGAGCGGGAAGCTCCTGAGTCAAGGGTGAAGGTGTGCGAGACCGCAGTGGGCGCAGTACCAGAGAGAGCAGACACAGCAGCACCTGAAGCCACGGCCTCACCAGTACCTAGAGCAGTAGACGTACTAGCACCGAGAGCAGCAGCCTCACCAGCACCTAGAGCAGGAGACGCACTAGCACCTAGGGCAGCAGCCTCACCAGGGTCAGGCGGTACGCACAGGTAGTACGTCTACTGCTCTAGGTACTAGCACTAGTAGGCAATGCATACATGGCAGTGAGAATAGCATCATAGTCAAGCGCAAAGATATCTACCCTCTGTCTATGCAGCTCCAGCCAGGTGGGGAGCTCAGCCTCGTCGCCAAACACTGTGCGCCAGTCGTCGCTCAGACGGGCGAAGCAGCGAGACTGTGTGTGACCAAGCGTCCCACAAGGCTGACCAGTCCTAGCACCTGTGCGAATGACGTACGGGCAGCGGACTGTACGCGTAGACCTGCTACACTGAGCGTACCACTCCTGGAGCTGCCGGGGCGTAAGTGTCTCACGTGGACGTCCCTGCAGCTGCAGCTGGCCACTGCCAGACGCTCCCAACTGACCAGCTCCAGGGCGACAGCTACGACGGCTACTGCGACAACCCCAGCTAGTATACCACTCACTAAGCTGCTGGGGCGTCAGAGGCTCGCGTGAATGTCGCTGGAGCTGCATCTGGCCACCTGCCAGTAGCAGTGGCGCAGGTAAAGCAGGCGCGGCAGGCAGGCAAGCAAGCAGGCAGGCAGGCAGGCAGGCAGGCCGGCAGGCAGGCAGGCAGGCAGGCAGGCCGGCAGGCAGGCAGGCAGGCAGGCAGGCAGGCAGGCAGGCAGACAGGCAGGCAGGTAGGCAGGCAGGCAGGCAGGCAAGTAGACACGCAGGCAGGCAGGCAGGCAGGCAGGCCGGCAGGCAGGCAGGCAGCCAGGCCGGCAGGCAGGCAGGCAGACAGGCAGGCCGTCAGGCAGGCAGGCAGGCAGGCAGGCAGGCCGGCAGGCAGGCAGGCAGCCAGGCCGGCAGGCAGGCAGGCAGACAGGCAGGCCGTCAGGCAGGCAGGCAGGCGCTCACCAAAGGCTGGGAGAGCAGGGCCGGCGCTCGAGTAGGCGCACGACAGCGGCGACGTCGGGGCCGCAAAACCGGCTGCAGAGCAGGGCCGAAACAGCTGGAGGGCGGGGCCGCGTCAGCGGCAGTAGCAGGGTGGGGCCGCGTCAGCGGCAGGTCGGGGCCGTGGCAGCTGCAGGGCGGGGCCGCATCAGCGGCAGGTCGGGGCCATGGCAGCTGCTGGGCGGGGCCGCATCAGCGGCAGGTCGGGGCCGAGGCAAAGGGCCGCGCGCGGCCGCGCTAGGGAGTAGCGGGCCGCGCGCGGCTCGGCGCGGGCTGTTGCGGGCCGCGCGCGGGCCGTGCGAGGCAGGAGCAGGCCTCGCGCGGCTCGGCACGAGCTGCTGCGGGCCGCGCGCGGGCCTCGCGAGGCCGTAGCAGGCCGCGCGCGGCTCGACGCGGGCTGCGCGGGCTCGGCGCGGGCTGCGCGCGGCAGCTGCGAGCTGCGCGCGGCTCGGTGCGGGCTGCGCGCGGTTGCAGCGGGCTGTGCGCGGCTCGGTGCAGGCTGCGCGCGGCTGCAGCGGGCTGCGCGCGGCTCGGTGCGGGCTGTGCGTGGTTGCAGCGGGCTGCGCGCGACTCGGTGCGGGCTGCGCGCGGTAGTAGCGTGTGTGCGGGCGTGTAGAGGCGTGTAGAGGCGTGTAGAGGCGGCGCGCGGGCCTTACGGGCCTCTAGGGGCAGCGCGCAGGCAAGGCAAGGCAAGGCAAGGCAAGGCTACGTGGGGTAGCGCGGTAACCGCAGCGGTAGGGTGGCCCGAAAAAAAACGGTCCTACGGACCTTAGTGCTCTGATACCATGTTAGAATCTAGCAGCAGGAATGAGTGAACTAGCAGCATGCAGGAGTACAAGTAGTAAACCCTAATTGGGCTGTACCCCATATGGGCTACCCCACTACAGCCTAAACAATATGCAGCATATATGTTTGAGATGCACTGCGCGCGGTCTGCCAGCACTGCAGTCGCAGGTGACTATCTGCAATCGCAGGTAACTTTCTACGGTCGCAGGTTGTCTATCTGCGCAGATGTGCGCACCTACCAAGTAGGTGCAGGTTGGCGGTTTCACCGTCAGGCACATTGCGCAGGTGCCAGGTAGAAAACGTGTCGTCGGTTTTGCCAGGTGCGCACCGTCGACCACGTGATGCCGTTCCGCAGGTAGAACTTCGCCAAAATCTCCTGGGCGAATGTTCGCACGCCTTCGCAGAGTTTCGCGCAACTCTGCAACTTCGGTCGATCAGCTCGACTCTGCACGGTCGAACACAGTTCGCTGTGCAGAGCTTCTTGACCAGAACTCTTTGACCAGAGCTCTTCGTCCAGCGCTCTTCGACGGAAGCTCGCCGCGCAGAGATCGTCGACCAGAGCTCATCGCGCAGAGCTCGTCGACCAGATTCTGTCGAGCAGAGCCTGCTCGACCGCAACTTCCGCCGAACTGCAGAAGCCCATTTCGTCGACCGCTCCGTCGCGAACTTCCCGTCTACAGCGAGATCCGCTACGCTCAAGCGAGGGTGGGGCCATTTCCTTCGACAAGCAACACCGCCAATTCGAAAAACGCCACCCGTCATAACGTTGCAAGTGTTGGTTGAGATACAAAACTGCAAAAAAATTGTACTTTACCGTTCGTTTCCCAAAGTTCTGTTTCGGTTCCATATCGGCAACGAACCATCCGTTCGTCGAGCGTTTATTTTTAAACACAACTTCGTGCCCTAAAACTAGGAAATACGGAAAACCTGCCCTTTTACCAAGAAGCTCGTGCCTCTTGCCCTCGCTCCTCCGTCTCCAACTCTTTCAGGCGCGCACCAGCGAATCCACGCCGGGGCTCGCTTTGTGCCAACACCCGGGCGGACACGGTGCGTGCCATGAGGAGTTCCACCGGCGATAAGGCCTTAGGACGTGGACACTAGCGAAGATTTTGGCGATTGATCGCGCACTATCGATCCGCCACCGCACTGGAAACCTGTTATTATTGTCGTTATCTTTTTGAACCTTTAACAAACATGATCCTTTGTCGGATCGATCACGCAAATGTGGTGGGAGTGTCCATGTCCTAACAGATAGCTCAATGCAGTGACCTACCAGTTTGCGATTGTTACGTGATGCCGCAGCGTGGAGGCAACAGCCAGCGCACTAGGGCATGGCAGCGGGCTCAATAGACGGTGCACGTGGACCCAGGTCAGCTCGGAGAGGTTAGGGCGTATAAGATCCCCGTGCACACGGTTTGGCTGAATATCGTACACAATTTGGTCGTCAAAACCTCCGCGAAGGTCGACAGATTAGTCATAGCCAGGTCGACTAATTTTCAGCCAAATCAGTATAGCCTCCGAATCTGATACGAGGTGGAAGTTGTTGTTGTTGTTGTTGTTTTTTTTTTTTTTTTTTTTTTTTTTTTCTGACGACTTGGTACGACGGTATCGTGCACATATAAGCGATGTCGCGATTTCACTATAACAACGTATGCGAAGTCATTTTTCACTGTAGCCAGCTGTTGTCGACAACATGACCGAATTGAAGTCGGCCATGTGTCGGAAAGAAGTCGACTTGTTTTTCGGCCACCAAATCACAAATTTGATGGTCGAAATTGGCGAGTTTCGCAAATCTATAGACGACGTTCGCTACATGGTTACTTTCGCAACGGCCACCTAGTTTTGGTGGCCGATTTGGTGTGCACGGGGATCTTACACGCCCTTAATGTGAGCGGCGAGCTAGTAAATTACATGAGAATTTTGCGAATATCTCACCCGAAAGCCCAAAAGTCACATACAGGGATGAGAGAAAATGTTCCTTTACAGTATCATTAGTTGCTGGAAGTCCTGGCTAACGAGGATGTTTCTACGAACCAAACTGGCGTGAACTGAACCTTCAGAGGGCCCATTCCTGCTCGTCTCAGACAATCAACTTGGTTTTTAGCGATCAACTTTGCTTTTTGCAACTCCCCGTACTGCCACGAACTTGAGAAGTTCAAGGGTGTGCGATCTCCACAACTCGCTTCGAAGAAGTCGTTCGTACAAGGCCTCAAAGCGTCCTACCACTTTCTTCCCCTGTCTCACCACCACCATCCCATATGCAGCACGTGATTCAAATCCCCCTCAGCACACGGTGCTGCTTATGCGGTATCTGCCTCGCAACCTTGTTGCAATCAAGAGTTCCCAGCACACCTCCATCCACACATAGCCGCATTGATTGTGACTGAAACTGCTTCTACAGAACGAGCTGGGCGTGTCCGAAATTACTCTTCAAAATAACCTCAAAACCACTTTAAACTTTTAATAGACCGCTTTAGGCCGTACCAAGCACCGAGCCGCATTCGGACACATTCTCGGCACGCGCCCTAATTGCATTCGATACACACCGCGTCTTCGGAACGTTTCTTGGATCCATGCCGACACACCGGGTGAGCTTTGCCATGATACGCGGACCGCAGCGCTCCATGTTCCCTCCCGTGTCTCGCATGGCTCGTTGCCTCGCTTCGAACTTCAGATTGTCTATGTCGTACGGGGTGACATGCCAGACACAACAGAGGCCTAACGGAAACCTAGACTATCGTTTACTTGTCTTCTAAGCCCTATCGAAAACGATTGTGCCGCCCTAAGCGCATAGGTCGTTTCACAGGCGCCGCCTTTCATTCAGGGCATAGTCTGTTGTTTCTCTCGTCTGTCAAGAGCCTCTGAGCCTCGGATTCTCGCATCTCATCCGGCAGTGGTAATCCTTTCTCGGCTCTTTTGAAACAGCTCGAGAACTTCATACTCCTTTCTCTGCTCGTTTCGATATTCTCTTTCGCTTTCCCACCCTCCTTTCTCGCCGTGTAACGCCCGCGGGTTACACTAAGGGTTGTTTGAACCGCATCCACTGCACTCTATGACACCCCCGTTTCGACCCAGTGGGTAGGGGGGCGGCGTTACTCTGGAACCAAAATATAGGGTCTATTCCCGGCTGGATCGCATTGTATACTCATAAAGAGAACCCAAATGTGGTAACCCAGAGTCGAACGCAGTTAACGATCTTCAGCTGGCCTGACCAATCACCGAATGTAACTTGGACTTGTAAAGCAGACACAGAGCCTGCAGGGCTTACAAGATAGTTGTATAGGCATCCGCCTCTACAACAGCCCCGTTTTGACCGTGGATAGCAGGGCGTTAAAATCAGAGTACCTTCCCGTGCACTCATCAGTCCCACACCAACCCACAACACCTTGACGGTGCTCCTTTTGCTTTTCCCATGCAGTTGAAGTCGCACCGAGGCATGGAGCTGTATCGCCTGCTGCTTCCCAGCCTTGCGTGCCTGTTTGCGCTCAGGGGAGTAGCATCAGTGCGGTTATACCCAGGCGAAGGTAGGGTTGGGAACTCCATTGCGTTGCTGCATTGACTGGACCAGCAGCCATCCCAGTCTGCCACTTGCCCATCTCATCCCAGTCTTGCTGAACCACCTCCACCCTCACCTTTTCTCTTCAGTCCGTCTCATTCCTACTGGGTTTCTCCATCCATCCTTGGCTTGCCCACGCACACCTCCTTGCAGTGGACAGCCTCATGCAGCTGGCGAGCTGGTGGAACAACTTCCAGGGCAGCGACACATGGCAGCTGCGCTATGCGGACTGCATGGCCATGTATGGCATTGCCTGCGACAGAGACGGATTCGTCACTGACATGTGAGAGCTCCACCTGCTGTCATGATGCCACAGCATGCATGCGCTCAGCTTAACAACGCGCATGCTCCCATCACATCGTGCATGCATGTGCATGTCGTGGCTGGTTGGTAGCCCACCACCAGGGCCAGCGCAAACATATGGGATGGGAGTGCCAGGCTATGTTGGGTCGGATGCGTCTAGCGTCCATAATGCTGGACGGGAACCGATCCCCCTTAGGACGCTGGTCTGGGCAGTCGGAAAAAAATTTCTGGGCAGGGAACAAAAGTAAGCGGAGAGGGGGAAGGGTTGGGTCTTGGGGCGAAACAGGAAATGGAAGAGTTCGAGTAGATATGAAAGTTGATTCGACGACCTGTTTCTGCTGGCCAAATTTGAAATTGGTTGTGTGCTGGTTTTGTAGACTCAGTGCAGTGCGCTGAAGTTAGGAAGGGAGCAAATTTGGTTGGGTTGGGAAAGTTGTGGTGATAGCCTGGTAGGTAGTTGCAGAGGAGATTGCGTTGAAACCTCCAATCGCGAACTCGAGAGGCACTTTGTGCCAATCTCGAAATCCAGGGGTGCCGCAAAATTCCCCCCCAACGTCCGGCGTTGGCACCACCCATGGGCACATCCAGCGTCCGGATGAACAGGACGGGCGGATGCAGCGTTCGGATGCAGCGTTCGGATGCAGCGTTCGGATGCAGCGCCCGTAAAACTTGAACACTCCCACCCTCCTGACAGGGAGGCCAGTGCTGTGCTGTCACAAGTCGAACGCAGGCAGCCCAGCTTGTTGTTGCTGTGATTGGAAGTGCGGATGAGGATGAGGGAAGAGAATGTGTGGTTCAAAAGATGAGCACGGACGGTCGAACACATTGATCCATTGTGTGACGAATGAACGATAGACGAGCAAAACCCGAACACTAACGTTCAGACACGTCTCGAACATGTCATCGAGACGAACTAAACATTCAATTCGCTTTGCTCCGAACACGTTCAGCCAAGAGTAGTAGTGTTCAGGTGTTCCTATCACATTGGTGTGCTGTGTCAATTTCTTGTGAACCATGTTCGAATGGTCTGAACCGATGAAGCTGCGAATTTGCTGCGCACCGGACCCCTCCCAAGAAGCGTCTGGCGTATATACTATAGCACATATACCCTAGCGTATGAAATGCCGAACATGTATATTCCAACTTATGCGTGCACCATATACAATGTCCTTGCATACCCTGTCCCGCCACTGTCCTGAAAGTCACTTGCAGGACACATCGAAATCTCCAAGTCTGCATTCTTTTGTCCATGGTAGCATTTCCTTCACAAGTCTTGTCTGGCTTTCGGTTCAAGTCTTTGTTCAGTCCGACCCAGCTCGACTGAAATTGGTTTAGGATCTTGCCGAATGTACACCCGATGGTATCAATAGATTCAAACTTACTTGGTCGTAGTTTTTGTATATGACACTGGCGCGTCAAGTATCCGCTAGTGTCCGGACGCTTGACTCACTGTTGGAGAAACCGTTGATGCTCGTTGAAAACTTAATCGGGCAGAAAAATGAATCTGGGCAGGCAAAGTAAAAGCCCCGGGTAGAAACAACAGCTCAGGAGGAAGTGCAGGAGACTATGTGTGGAGGAGTTTCATGTATCATTACTTGAAATTATTAAGCGCATTACGCGCGCATGGGTTGGGCTAGGTAGAGGGAGTGCAATTCGTACTTTACTCCCCAACTTGCCAAAATTGAAACTTGTGGCCCACAAATTTGCCAACAATGTTGTCCCTAACCAATTTCTCCCTTCTTACCGATCTTCAGCGCACGCAATCTCGATAGCCCAACCAATTTCAGATCTGAAAAATGGCAGTGAAGTTCTAGATCCAGTTGACCTCCTGAATCTCCTATACCTAGGCTTCTTCTTCTAGATATTGTACGCGCCATCATCCTATGTTTAATGCGACGCTTTTTGAAAATTTTATGCAAAAACAAACAAACGTTTTTGTTTCCTGCCTGCCCGCATCACGCGCCAAACGCTGCGTCCAGCGCCTAGCATCAAGAGGTAACGTTTAAACGGTTGAACACTTGACGCTGCCCTGCTTCAGAGTAAGCCATCATAGGTTGTCGTCTGTGGATAATGGCACGGCAATTTCATGTCATATTTATTGTATATCACTTTTGCACATGGCCAGTCATGGAATTAAACCGCGCTCGTTTCTGTTGCAGAGTGATACAAGCGGGGAACTTCAATGCACCAGTACCTGACATGATCAGCCAGTTGCAACACCTCACACGCCTGTGAGCCCATACAGTGCAGCTCTGCACCACCACCATCTGAGCAAAGCATTTGACATGGTTGAGCTTATTAATCAAGTGTGATGGATGCATTAAGGCAAACGTAGATGATCCCACAAATCTGCATGTGCTTGCTACACACACACCAAGAGTGTGTCAATCAATCCCTTTGTCGAGCAGTCTATGGATCAATAATCATTGCAACGATACAGAGAAGGCATGCATAGAAGACCCTGTCACTGTCGCTTGAATTTCTTTACCCTCAATTTACACTTTTCATTACCCCACTCTTGCCTCCTTCCAGTTCACCTACTTTGCTTTGCGCCTCCTTCCCAACTCGTCTTGCTTTCCATCGCTGCCTCTTCTCTAGGGCACTCCCCTTTTGCCAGCTTACAGGCACCCTTTCGGAATCCCTCTTCAGCCTCACATCACTCATCGTCATGTAAGTGCGCCCTGCACTCATTGTGTCGTCAGCCGTGAATCCACCTCACCTCGTGCTTGAAATCTGCATGCTCACTGCTGATTCTTCCATCCAGCCCATGCCTGTCACTTCTGCTGCAGCGATTTTTCAGGGAATCTCATCACAGGCACTATTCCTGCATGCTTCAGCTGCCTCACCAACTTGCGCGTACTGTGAGTAACACTTTCACTGAAAGGCATAGAGCTTGCCATGCAACATCTCATGATGGATGGTGGTGGGGGAACTGATCTGCGCATATGGGTGCAGCATTTGCTCCGGATATGGCACAACATGTGAGACATGTTTATGCAGCTTATGTGGTGTACACTATGTTTGTTTGCTCTCTTGTTTTGTATTTCATTCTTGTATGGTCATGCTGCTACCTGTAGTTTTGGCATTTTGCCAAGCATGGTTATGCGGTCTCTCTAATGCTTCCACATGGTCCCTTCATTATGTGTCCGTCCTTCCCCCTTCCCTGTTTCAGTGCCCTTGGTGTGAATCAGCTCTCAGGTCCCATCGATCCACTCACCAACTTGCCGCAACTCCAACAGCTGTACGCATCCGTTAATGTTTCTTGTAAACAAGCTGTGCTCCATACTTGCCGTACCGTACTTATTGAGGGCATCAATCTAAGTCTGCTGGCTGAAGATTAGGTCAAGGGCTCCAGTCCAGTCGCAAGAAAGCAGGAGGAACGACTGGCCCTAATTCAGTGGCATTTTCACCCTATTGCATGCTTGCCTGTCATGTCAGTTCCTGGTCAGCTTCTCTTGAGTTGAGTGCCGGTGTTTGTCCTAAGGTAGAAAACCTAAGCTCCAATCCAGATCGTTGATTAACTCGAGCGGTTATTGCGTTCACCTCCCTTTCTCCTCCCTTTCTTCTCTCTTTCTCCCCCATTACCCTCGGAAAACTACATCTCCCACCTGCCAGTACCGCCACGATCCTAATCTCGCACACCACTGTTGCCAGCATTCCAATGCAAACAATCTCCCACCACCCGCCTGCACCAGTTCTCACAGTCCTCCTCTTGTCTTTCCCCAGAGAATTTATGTTGCAAAACATTGGAAAAGGGAGAGCGAATACTGATATAGTCCGCCTGTAACAGCGAGCCACTGAAGGTTGCTCATGTGTGGTGCCATTAAGAATGTCTACGCATCCGAGATGATTGGGCGTGCATGTGCGTTGTGTCCCGTGGCCCCTCAGTAATCTGGACCAGAACCTCTTCAACACGTCCATTCCCTCTGACATCAGCAAGCTCTCTGCCCTTCAATTCATGTGAGCCACGCTAGTACTCGTTCACATGTGGACGCTGCCGTTTTCTTTTCCTGTTGCTTATTATTGGCAGTTCTCTAGCCAGGCAGTTCTCTAGCCAGGCAGTTCTCTAGCCAGGCAGTTCTGTAGCCAGGCAGTTCTCTAGCCAGGCAGTTCTGTAGCCAGGCAGTTCTCTAGCCAGGCAGTTCTCTAGCCATGCAGTTCTCTAGCCATGCAGTTCTCTAGCCATGCAATTGTTTAACCAGGCGGCTCTCTACTGTGCTTAGCCCGCATCAGCAAGGAGCTCTGTGGTTGGAAGACACATACGCAGTGGAAGACACATCAGCAAGACCGATGCCCTCTCGCTCCACACATTGCACACTACCATAGAATCCACCATCTCCTGCCAAGGCACTCTGTTCCAGACTACCTCCCACTTCCTTCCCCGCTTTCCCCTCTCTCCGGTCTTCTGGCCTTGCAGGAACCTTGAGAGGAACTCGATCTACGGAAGCATTCCCTCCTCCATGGGAAACATGGCGCAGCTCAAGGCGTTGTATGTACCGTGCATGCAGTGTCATGCTCTCACTGTGCCTTGCTTTACGTTTACGTTACTGTACGCGTAAGTTTGTATAGAGCTGTTGGCAAGTAAGAAAAACTAAGGTAACCTGAGTTTTGTTTGTTTTCTGGTCATACTACTCCACGTAATACACTCGATCCGGCTTAACATGGAAGAGAGCGTGCCAACCCAGTTAGCCCGTGGAGCCTCATTCTACGACGTGCTGAAATACCAGCGAAAGAGGACAGTCTGTCTGTTAGGAGAAGTCCAATGGTCTGGGGATAGATAGGCGATCAGGTCCTTTGGGCTGATCACTTTGGGCTGCTAAATCTGTAGGTACATGGGAACGGGAGGGGAGGGTGCTGGGATTAAAGGAGGCTATCCATACGAAGCTGCGTGGCCTGCAGAGTGAAGTGTGTTAGCTGGCGAATTCGAGATTCACCAAAGGTGGGGATCTTTCGCACGTGTGATGTGAATGGGTCAATACAAACTTTCAAATTGGTGAGGTGCGCAACACTTTTACGAACGCCTCTGAGATCCTGTTGCACAGATTCCATAACATTTTTTAACACCTTTGTAGTGCTAAATGAAACTTGCCCTGCGGTTCAGAAATGCGCTATACGTGCTGGACCTGTTTCTGTTACTCTAGCTTTGTTTGTGTTGCTTGCATTTCATTGGCCTCTCTTGTGCTGCCACACGTGCCAACATATGAGACCCTTTTCCTTAGCTGGCAAGTGCAGGGTGCTACGTTTCAACCAGCTGAGCGGATCCATACCCGACTCCTTCAGCTACCTGCACAACCTCAATCAGATGTGAGACTCCTCTGCGCCTGTGCACCTCTCTGCACCTCTTGCTGGTGCCAGTCTTGATTCATTGCATTAAGTTCATCGCATATGTGGTAGCGGAAAAATGCACATGCAGTCACAGAGAAGAGCACTGCCCCAAAGTGATTGCTCGCAGAACCCCATCAAGGTGGGACGCTGAGCAGGGTGCTTGCTCACCCAAGTATTGCAACATGGTACCTCATCACGTGCTGCTAGTGTGCCACATTTGGCCGTCATTCTGCTCATTTCACGCCTTCCGCTCTGGTCATTATTTCTGTCGTGTGCAGCAAGTGGGATAATAATCAGCTGACAGGGTCCATCCCTGATTGGATAGGGACTCTCTCTGCGCTCAAGACTCTGTGAGTTATGTCACCCCAACTAGCACGTATTCTTCTGTGTTGGGCGTCACATGTGAGGGACAAGCAACTCTGGTGAGCTGGCTGCCCACCTCGCTCGCATCAGTAGTGGCTAATCCCACACAGTCAGCTGCGATCCAACCAGCCCCAGTCGGCCAGTTGAGTCAGTGCTGTAGATTAGGGCTCTGCTTCATCTCTCTCTTCCATGTATACCCTTGCTGCTCACTTGAGCTACACCAACTTTCAATCTGAACTTCTTCCCTATCAGCTTCAGATTTCTTCCAGTCACTGGTCACAAAGGATCGTGGTGTATGCTGTGTGGGTTTTACTGTTGTGTGGTGGCTTGGCAGGGCGGTGACTTACAATGCTCTGAGCGGATCAATTCCAGCCGCTCTCGCATCACTGCCGCGCCTTAATGTTCTGTAATCAACAATGCTGCAACGTTCCCATCCATGTTTCACATCACACCACTGTCATCAAGGGTTTATGTCGTTGTTTGGCCAAGACAGCTCAGGCGTATATATAGGGGTGAAGGTGAAATCAAAGACGGGTCGATTGGGTTGGGTTGACCATCATTATTCGTTGTCCAGTCCGTGTTTGAGAAGTAAACCTGACCGTGACAATGGTTTACGTACTTTGTGTTACCTTTACGCACTTTGTATGTTACGTACGTGCACCTGAGATTTGTTAACGTTTCTAGGCAGGTTGAACAGGAATATCAGCTGCCCAAACATGTACCCTGCTTGATGCAGGTTCCTCCTCAGAGCTCTAATCCTGTAGCCTTTTGAAGAATCTTGGCATGACAAGCCGGGACAACAAAATGCGTAGCCTGTCTGAGCCGGGGAAACAAAATGCATGGACAAATGTTTGTTGCCTGGCATTTTCTTCCTGCCCTGAAGTATGTTGTGTGTCTTGTCGCGTACGTGCGTGTAGGATGGTAGGAAGTACAAACCCATGTAAGAATCTACATGCTTCACACCATTCTCGTCTCAGATTACTTGGTGCCAACCATCTCTCGGGAAGCATACCTGCAGAGCTGGGCGACATTCTGAGCTTGCAGTACCTGTGAGTCGCCACAGCCCATTGCTAAAAAGCGCATCATGTTTCACCTCTTCTTCAGCCTTGCCCACGCTTTTCCAAGGGGGTGGTGTCAACCCTTTGCTGCAAAATTGCCCTATTCCAAGACCTGACAAAGTGTCTGCATTGCATAGCGCCAACTTGTCCCCCCCGCCTTCCCGTCAATCAACTCATTCTTTTCACCTCGATCATTCATTGTTCCAGTCCATCCACCGTTTGACCCACAACCGTCCATCTGCTTGGCTTTTTTGCGGGTGGCAGGTGGCTGGGGGTTAATCAGCTGTCTGGATCCATCCCGACAGCCATTGGGAAACTTACCAAGTTGCGGGAACTGTGCGTACTGTAACGATACAGCAGAGTTGCACGGATAGCACTTCCTGGCGACTCCACTTGAGCAGAGCTGTAACTTGCACCCTGCGTTGTGCTGGATTGGCAATACCGTGTTTCACTCCCTGCATTCAAAGGGTACACGCTGACGCTGTTGCTGCATGATGTGCGTGTGATGTGCGTGCGATGTGCGTGCGATGTGCGTGTGATGAGCGTGTGATGTGCGTGTGGTGTGCGTGCGATGTGCGTGTGATGTGCGTGTGATGTGCGTGTGATGTGCATGTGATGCGCGGGTGATGTGCATGTGATGTGCGTGTGATGTGCATGTGATGTGCGTGTGATGTGCGTGTGATATGCGTCTGATGTGCGTGTGATGAGCGTGCGATGTGCGTGCGATGTGCGTGTGATGTGCGTGTGATGTGCGTGTGATGAGCGTGGGATGTGTGTGTGATGTGTGTGCGATGTGCGTGCGATGTGCATGTGATGTGATGTGCATGCGATGTGCGTGCGATGTGCGTGTGATGTGCGTGCGATGTGCGTGCGATGTGCGTGTGATGTGCGTGTGATGTGCGTGTGATGTGCGTGTGATGTGCGTGTGATGTGCAGGGACATCTTTGGCAACCAGCTAGAAGGGACTCTCCCCAGCACCCTCCAGAGCCTCACCAAGATGGAATATCTGTACATGTCCCGACACCACTTTCTTTAACTACGTCTCTCTCCAATTTTTCTGATTAAAAGAGGTTATTTCATGCAGAGTACAACTTTTCTCTAGACTCCTTTGCCCGCTCTATGCTATGTTTTCCAAAGCCCGTCTTCATGCAAGTCCAACTCATGTTGTGCATAGAGAGCCTCCGTGGCTCATACTTGGTGGTGGCACTACGACTTTAAAATGGTCGGCACCTTCTGGAGTGAACCAACAGCTTACGCCCTGTGCTGTGCACGTGCTCATGTGTGTCAATCCTTGCACCCTGCCCTCAGTTCGCTGTCATTCAACCGGCTCTCAGGCCCCGTGGAGCCCATCGTGCGAGGCATGAAGAACGTCACTTCATTGTGGGTATCACCGCACACACACACACCTGCGTACATGCACAGTCCTCTCTCTCAACCCCAAGCTTGCACAACGATCTCAACTTGCTTGCCCACCGTGCATCACTGCTGCCTTGGCATGGCAGGTATCTGAACAACAACCAGTTCTCTGGGCGCCTGCCCAGCCCTGCAGCAGCAGGCGTGCAGGCATACATTGTTGCTGAGAACTTCTTTTCGCACGGGCAGGTCAAGTTCAGCAACTGCTCTGCAGTCACATGGATGACGTATTTAAACTGCCTCACGCCGTACAATGGCATCTGCGGCCTTGTGTACCAGCAGAGGTCTGCTGCAGACTGTGCTGCGTTCTGTGGGCTGGGGGTTGGTGCCACTGGGCCTCTGTGTGGGGGCCATGGCTACTGTTCTCGGAATACCGTTACTGGAGCAGGGGAGTGTGTGTGCGATCCCAACTACATGGTCAGCAGCAGCGACACCAACGCCTGTGTTCCTGGAGGTAAACTCCTTCTTTGAACCAGACGCTCCTTCACACCTGTGGTGCCATGCTACTCTGTTTATATGTCTAAGCCTAAGTTGAGACTAACACCAAGTGTTGTTCCAACCATGACTCTGCCTCCCTCCCCCCCAGCTGCGCGCTCATCTCTGGCATCGGCCTTGGCGTACGTCTCCCTTGGGGGCTCTGCCTCGCTGCTTTCCAACGGCTCCATTCTGCTCACCAGCGGCGCTGCCAGCCAGCAAGGCTCTGCCTTCGCGTCGCCTGCCATGCGCCTCTTCTACATTCCTGACAAGCGCTCTCCTTGCGGCACTCAGCTGGGCTTCCTCGTTGCCTTCAGCTTCGCCATGATCCCCGGGGATCAGGGGGCGGGTGGGGAAGGGCTTGCGTTTGTGGTGGCAGCAGCTGCTGCTGGCAAGGGGGCGAGTGTGGGGCTGGGAGGGGTGGGGAAGCGGAGTGTGGCGGTGGAGTTTGACTCGGTGCTGAGTGTGAAGCACAGCGACCCCAACGACAACCACGTGGGCGTCAATGTGGGCGGCTCACCTGTGTCCCTCGCCTCTGCCACGGCCCCTCTCATCCTCAACGACGGCCTCACCAAGCACGCCTGGATCCACTACGACCCCACCAGCGCCGGCACCCTCCGAGTCTTCCTCTCCTCCGACCCCCACCAGCCCCCCACCCCCACCCTCACAGCAAGCGTGTCTCTCTGCTCCGTGCTCAAGCCCACTGCATCCGACTCTCTCTTCCTCTTCGGCTTCGTCGCCCTCTCAGGCAGCCAACCACAAAGCCATGCCATTCTGTGCTGGAGCTTCGTCACAGGTATGCTGCATTGCACTGTAACCTGCCCATCTGTTTCAGGTTGTTTCATTTCACGCATCCACTCTTTCAAACGTTTTCTATCTTGCTTGGATTTTCCCTCATTCTTGTGAGCAGATGTTCCCTCTTCTCTGTAGGGCAGTGAGCACTAGCATCGCACCTTCACATCCACCCACACACCCTTACATAGTTTTTGGCTTGTTTCCGGGGAGAATGTGCATCTTGCGGGTGCTTGTTAGCATATTGACTTGTGCAACTCTCATGGGCATAGCGTAGTCGCCTGGTTAGTGAACCCGGGGGATTGTTATCGTATGCGCCCGAATATAAGACATATATGTTTGTGTTATCTTGTATTTGGGACAGTTTAGGGTGTCTTATCTCAAACAGTGAACGCAATGGAATGGTTGGAATAGAAACGAATGGGGTACAAATAAGCAACCCTAGAAGCTGTACCCCCTAGAGTGCAACTCACTACAGCCTATCACATCAATGTGCAACATTTGACACACCCCCATAGGCTAAGTGAGGGGCATTAAAGCAAGCAAGGTGAACAAACGGTCACAAGACCAGTCAAAGCAAGAACCAAGGCAAGCTCAGGGTGGATCTCAAGGACACCACATAAATTCCGAGCACAAGCAAGCGGCCACAAGGCCAGTTGAAGAGTTGACTAGGATATACATACAAAGCACAACAAGCAGAGCAAGCAACAGGACTACAGCAACCGAGGGCCTACCTCAACAAGCCCCAACTGCACACAGAACATGTGGTGGTCACCAGGCGCCAAGGCCTTGGTGAAGACGTCTGCAGTGTTGGCCTCTGAGGCCACAAAGTCCAGGCGTGCCTGGCCGCGTCGCTGCAGCTCTCGCAGGAGGAAGTACCTCACGTCAATATGCTTCACTCTGCTCTCCAGTCGAGGCTCTCGACACAGGAGGATCATGGCCTTGTTGTCAGCGTACAAGGTCGGTGCAGAGCGAGGCCGCTCACCAAGGTCGGCGAGCAAGAAGGTCAACCAGCGAAGCTCCTGTGCCGCCATGGCACCCGCATAGATCTCTGCCTCTGCACTGGAAGTAGCCACAGACGACGACCGTGTAGACCTCCACGACACAGCACCAGCTCCCAGACTGAAGCAGTAACCCTGGGTCGAGCGCTGAGTCTCCACGTCGTCAGCGTAGGAAGAGTCACAGTGACCAGTCAACGCCACTGGCTGAGTCCCTCCAAGCACAAGCCCCATGCCTGATGTAGTCGCCAGGTACTTCGCCACCCTCACAGCAGCTGTCCAGTGGACAGGACGGTGTCTCCCAGTCGCAACAAAGCGAGAAAGGATGCTGAGGGGAAAGGCGAGGTCAGGTCGAGTACAGGTCATCAGGTACATGAGGCAGCCCACCAGCTCTGCGTAGGGTCCACAGGATTCAAACGGCTCGTCAGGAAAGGGGCCAGTGAGTCTGTGGTCAACAGCAAGAGGAGTGGGCTGTGTGGTGGAAACCTGGAAGTCGAACCGCCGAAGGACCTGCTGCACCATGTGTGACTGCGTCAGTGTGATGGTGCGAGCGGCTCTGTCCCGGGTGATCTGCAAGCCAAGGTAACGCTGCAGCTCACCCAGGTCAGTGCACTTGTGTCTCTTCTGCAGTTCGGACTTCGCTTGAGCCAGGGCTGAAACTTATCGTTGAGGTCATTGAGTATGGCGAGAATTTCTGCTAGAAAGTGTTGTAGGAAATGGATTTTGAAGGAGGTGACGGCCTTATATAACTTGTGCTTGTGCTCGTGTAGTAGCACAATAGTCGTTGGCAAGAATTTAGCAAATCATTTCACTACCTTCCCTCTTAAGAGCCTTTGCATCGTGTGGATCTCCAGTAGGTCTAGATTCGCGTTAGAGATGTACTCCTAGAGGTTCTGAATATGCTTATGCCAGATGCTGCTTCTCAACAATTGTTTCACAACGTTGCGCCCGGCCTTGGTCAACCATGTTGAACTCTAGCACCTTCCCTACGGCGTCCCTTGCAGCCAATGCCTCCCTGCTCAATCACAACATTTGAATTGAAGCCATTGTTGTTAGTGGGCAATACACGAAGAAACGGGCGACTCATGGATATTAGCACTTTCCGATGTGCAATACGATGGCACAACACGAGATACGGATTCTTCACCCTGAGTCATGCGACAATGCCATTGCTAGTTCCTGTCTTGACTCTGGCGCCGTCAATGCTTATTCCCACTATCTTCAACAGGTCGATGCTGACTGCATTTAAGTGGGTTAGCAGAACATCGATGAGGCTTGCTGCATCGTGTTTCTCAACCGTCAGCAGAGTAAAAAACTTACACACGACAATTTCGCCCTTCATAATGGTGACGTATACGATGGAGTGCTTGCCGCGCACCCAAGCGATGTAAGGGCTGGCGTCAATATTCCGCAGTTGATCAAGGCACAAGTACTTCGAATTTGCCTCAAGCAACTCCCAAAAACTGTACCTGCAAGAGACACACAAAAATGATAACATTGTCTACATTGAAATCCAGTAAAAAAAAACGATTTCCATAGCATAACACGGTCACACTTACTCCAAAAATTAGCATCTCTTAGAGTTGAAGGGATTGTTTGGCACCCATAGCTCTGACATGTATTTGATGAAACCCATATAGGAGGTGATCAGGGTCTCAAACTTGCAGATATAAACAACAGGGTTTTCAATGCAGTACTGAACATGCAGCGTGCTGCGATCCTGGCCTTCGTACTCATTCAGCAACGTCTGGCGGAGCTTGCCGCTCTCCTTCGACTTCATCACGGCGTGGGTATCCTGGTGTGCACTGGAGCGCTAGTGAGTTGGTTGCTCCCTTTCTGTATGTCATGCCCTCCTTCGCCACCCTTGCCATACGCCGATTCTCGCCCTTGTCTCCATGCTCCGAGTAAGTGCTGCATCTCAGAATTGGCATTCCATTGTCAGCACAAGATAAATCAAGCCATAGAAATGGCCCTTCCCATGAGGTCTTGAACCTCCTATGAGCTTCACAACAGCAAGTTCCGGGAAGCGGGCCAAGTTCACAACAGTCGGCAAACCATCACCTTCCTCGTCATTGCTACAGTTGCCGTCCACTGTGATGGATGCATATGCCCCTTGGGTGAAACACAGGTTAGGTTGGTGCCACTTCAGCAATGCAGAACCGCCACCAGATTTTATCTTTTTTGTCACAGATTCGTCAGCAGCAGCAGCATTCTTCGTAGCAGGTGCTGTCATTTCTCAATCTGCAGGTTCAGGCATTGTTGTGGGTGCGTGCATTTTATGATTTTTTCCTGTTTTTGTATTTGTTGTTCCTTCCAGTGTCTTATTGTTAATTATTTGATTAACAGGCCCTGCCTGCAGGGCTGACGTTTCGTTTTGGGCCTCCCTGATTCCGGGAAAAAATCCCCCCCTCTATTATGGGTGCACATTTTCCAGAAAACCATCACCCTGATTGCTCAGTGTTGAGAAGATATATAGTCTGAGTGTTCAGGGTCGAGAAGCCATGATCATAGTACTAACGAGCTTTGCATTATCGAATTCTACTTTCATGATGTGATATATACCCCTCAGATCTCGCTAGATTTTATCGTTCGGACTTTTGTTGTGTGTCACGGCGTATCAGATTTTCTTTGAAACGGCGAATCTGTAATATCAGATACATTTTACTGTAATTGGTCGAAGCTTTGTGCTCTTGCCCAGGGAAAATCTGATGTGTCAGGGCCAGTTCGCTGTGATTGGGCAAATTCATTGTTCCGAACTGCACGAATGCCCTTTTCATCGCGATGCGAATGTTGCGCGTGAGTCAGTTGCGCATGCCGAGTTTATGGTTCAACCCACTGCCCCAATTGTACAGAGGCAAGCACAGAGGCACGTGGCAAGTGGCGTTGTTTGGACGCTTCCACATGCTTCAGATCAGAACTGAACAGTGAATGATGCGCGTGGGAGGAGTCCCTTGTGTGCAAAGGACCCTTGCAATGGGGGTTATCGAGAAGAAGTTTCTAGGAAACTTTGTCCCGATACCCTCGCATTCTGAGTCCACAGAGCGCGTACTCTGTAGTGACAGAGTCCATAATAGCACTACACTGAGCTTGGATACAACTTTTCAGGGTCCGCTAAACCTTTATTCTGAATGGATCAGTGTTCACAAGTAGGAAATTCTGAAATTGCAGGGACCACCAACTGACTAGTCTGAAATCACCCTGAAATCAGGGTAATTACCCTGACAAATTCAGCCCGGCCTGCCTGTGCCACCACCAAGGCCACCACTTGTAGAGGCACAGATGCAGAGGAACGGCTGCAGATCTATACAACACTATATACACAGTCCAGCAGCAAAGGGTGATTCGGGTCAAATGCTGCAACTCCCAATTCGGGCCTTGTTTGCACTTGGCGTGCAAATCTTCACCCCAGGTCTTAGCTTATCTACACACTCATACCCATTCATCCGCCTGTAGCAGCCCTTGATGCTGTAAAAGAACTTGACATTGATGTACTTGCAGTCATCCCCCGGCGAGATGGTGTATGTGCTGGTCCTGGAACAGATGCCCGCTGTGAAGTTGGTCACACTGCCAATGCACACCTGCAGGCACAAGGGAGGTGGTGTGTGGGGCGGAGAAGACAATGCAGGAAAAAGGGCCAGCAGGGAGCAAGGGGCACTTGCTGGAAAAAAGGTGCGATGCATTGAATGCAAAAAGGGCACAGCTTGCAGAACTGCTAACGCAGGCCTGAACTCAGCTCAGTATGATCACACTGCATGCACCACAGCGACTGAACTCAGCGCCAAAGGTGGTGGCGGAGCGGGAGTAGTTCTTGACGGGGATGAGCTGGTTGCAGTTGACGCCAGGGTTGAGGCGGTAGAAGGTCACGGGGCTGAGAGGAGGCTCCGCCAGCTGCCTGATGCTGTCGCACGTGTCGCTGACGCGCGCCCGGTAGTACTGGTCGCACACCACCCCTCTCGAGGCACACGGCCTGGGAGGGGCTGAGGGAGGAGCAGTTGACAGCGGGGTTGAGCGCCTGAAATGCCGCCTCACACTCCGCATCCGACGCCGCCGCCCCACACAGCTCCACCTGCCGCGCCACCCCCGTGCACGTGTCGCTCTGGGGACACATGGAGAGGAAAAGGATTTGGATGATGAAAGGCCGATATCGAGTGGCCTGGCACGTACATTCAGTGTATAGGATAGTTCAACCATGGAACATTAGAACAGACGATGCATGTTGGTCACGAAGCGTTGAAAAGACTGCAGCTTCGCACTCTGTTTGTCGTGAGCTACGCACTGTGAAGACACAGTAGTTGTCTGCGAAACAATCCCCTATTCAAGGTGGTTGAAACTGTGCGCATGTCAAAAAGGGAAATTCACATTGGCCATGAGGCGCCTGTCAGGTTTATAACAAAGGCGTGTTTATAACAAATGTAGCTAGATTGGGATTGGTTAGTCTAAGGACCAAATGTTGGCAAGTGCCAACCAAGGACCATGACCAAATCCAATCTTGACCAACCACAAAGTGTGGTTGGAGTGTACACCCAACCCCCCAAGAACATAAAGGACTACACCTATCCTAGCCTATGAATATTGTATATAGTATACATTCACAACAAGCAGGAGGCCGAGGATGATGTGCAAGAGCGTGATGAGGAGGACGGCAGTGGGGACAATAGCGAGCCGGAGTGGGTTCCGGTTGCCTCTCCGACCATGGAGGAGGGGGGTGAGGTTGACTCGTGGGAGACATGACCGAGGTAGTGGGGGGGTGGTTGGGTAGCGGAGAGTGGTGGCATAGTGCCAAAGCTGCATTGTGGCGCGTACACTGGTGCGACGCAGCGCGTTGTCGCGTGCTTTGGTTTGGCGAGGTGGCGCGGATTGTTCCTGGTTACGCCTGGATGAAGACCCATTTTGGGGTTGAAATTTTCAGGCAACAAATGGGCGTTAAAGAACGGAGGGAATACGATTGGTAGGTTAAGTTAACTTAGTCTCAGGTTCTAGATCGATTTAGGGATGGCATTTATCGACACACTCGCTTCCCGGCTGCTGGCTGACAACGGAGGGTAGGCATGATAAAAAAGCCCGACCCGACCCGACCCGACCCGACTTGGGCGGGCCAGCCGGGTTCCGGGTCGGGTCGGGTCGGGTCGGAACATCAAAGATCTCTGGCCCGACCCGGGTATCGGGTGCCGGGTCAGGCTTCACCCGCCCCCGGGTCGGGTCGGGTCGGTTCCGGGTCGGGTCGGGTCGAGGCGACTCCCATAGGCAGGGTTAGAGGTTCTCTTTAAGACTGTGCAATGTTGCATTGATTGGCGCGAAGTTCGAATAACTCATAAAAAGACGATTGGCTGAGTACCAACTAAACATTATTGCAGGTTATAGGGTAGATTAGTGCGCCAATGTTGCTTGGTGGGTGGCTGCTGGCGTCACTAGCTTGGTAACTTAACTTAATCCAGATCAAAATGCTAGTCGCTGGGAAAACAAGCATGTGCGATTGCGATCTGGATAACATTATCGAGAGGAAACCCTTCGGTCGGGCCAGATACCCGACCCGACATAGGGCGCGGTACCCGAAATTGAGTCGGGTCCGTAATCGGGTCAAAAAGCGACCCGACCCGACCAGACCCGGAATCGGGTCACGAGTCGACCCGACCCGGCCGGGTCAGCGGTTCAGAACTCCTGACCCCACCCGGGTCAAAACCCGGGTCGGGTCGGGTCGACCCGACCCGCCGGGGCTGGATGCTCATGCCAACGGAGGGTGGAACGGCAGGCCTTCTTCCGCAGTAAGATGCGCTTGCGGTCCACAGTCATTTGTGAGATGATGCAAAGGAAACGCCGAACATGTTCGGTTCACCCCCTAAATATCTTGGCTTCTGTTCGACCCTAACACGTCCGGGTTTTGCTCAATTCTACCTATTTGTAGGAGTATACCCAACATGGTACGAGAACAAGTGGAGGTTAAAGCTCACCTAGCTTTTCTAGATCTTCCAACTCCTCTACAGTGGGCGATCCAATGTGTTAGTTACGAACTCGACCCAACCTCCAAAACTATTATTTGTTTTTACAGAAGAAAATGTCCTCAATTCTTCTAAACTTGAGTTTCTAGCGCTTACCCCATCGTAGTCTTGGAAGGAGGGTGCCTTACCCCATCGTAGTCTTGGAAGGAGGGTGCCTTACCCCATCGTAGTCTTGGAAGGAGGGTGCCTTACCCCATCGTAGTCTTGGAAGGAGGGTGCCTTACCCCATCGTAGTCTTGGAAGGAGGGTGCGGACGCCTCGATGTGCACAATAACAGGCTGGCGCTGCACTGCCAGCATGAGCCCAAACCACCCGTAGAACCCCGTGCGCTCGATGCCCCGGATGCCATAGTACTTGGTGGTCGCCTATAGGCAGGAAAGAGGAATACAGAGAAACACACCGATTAGGGACAAAAACCCATGGATCGGAATATCGTAACGACGATCCACCAGCAAGAGATATTAGCAGCAACACCTAAAAATCGATTCATTCCATAACACAAATAGCAGACGAACTCACCAACGATCTTCTTTGACGAGCCATTTGCTGGGAGTACACTGCATGCTCCACCAAGCCCTTGCCCTGAACAGTGGCGTTGAGGAGGAACTGCAGCGCCTTGGTGGGCGAGCCACCGTCGCAGTTGGAGGAGAGGGCGGGGCGAAGCTGCTCCACCGACAACACGGGGGGCTGTGGCGAGTTACTCGCAATCCTGTGGGCTGCTTCCACCGCTGCCACCACTGCGTACGCCCAGCAATCACCTGCATGGCATAGAAGGGCCGCAATGTGATGGGATTCAAGCACTCTTGTGTGACCATAGCATAATGGTTGCTAGCAGGTTGTTGTCGCGAGAGCGTCTACAAGAGATCTCAAGAGACATGCACAAGGCCCCTATGGTGGGGTGGGACACAACAAGGTATGTGAAATCCTTTGGTGTCACATGCCCTGTGCTTACTGCCATTCACTAGCTTGGTTGATACGCACAAATGATATGCAAGCGTTCTGAGGGAGCATAGGAAGGACATGGTGCATGTTGTTAATAATGAGTACAACCGATTGACAAAGCCTTAAGTACATTGAGGATGGGTTGGAGATGTAAAAGTCTACACCCAACCCAACCAAAACAAACTCACAAAAAGTTGTAACCTAAAAACAAAAAAATCCAACAACTAAGGTGCAGCCTAACAGTAGCCTAACAGTATGTTGGTGCATGTTGTAGCCTAACAGTACGTTTGAGCATTAATCTCTCTCCATGACTGGCTGCATGTGACCCATCCGGTCCTCGCATCTCAAGAATCCCCTCCTCTCCCTTGCTTAGTGTGTCACGTCTCAACTCTGAGCCATATCTTGCAGCTATCGTGCTGTTCATGCCATACAACTCACCACAGCCCCTCTGGTTCTTGACAGGCCAGGTGGATTCAGGCAGGCGCCAGGTGCTGTAGGACTTGACACTCTACGCTGGGCTGTTGTCCTGCGCGGGGTCAAATCCCGCACTGGCGTAGTGGAAGGCGGCGTTGAAGCCCTGCGATGAGAAGGAGTCCTCGTCCATCACAAACCCCAACGCCAGGTCTGGTGGGAAGGAGAAAGCGTGTTGAAAATTTGGAGAAGGAAAGAGTGCTGGGAGTTGGGAGAAGAAGTCAAAATGAAGAACGTGATGAACAATTCAGTGATCAGCATAGGCTCACATATGGTGAGAAATAAAGAGGCAAGCGTACTCACTTGAAGGGTCAAAGCGCGGGTTGAGAGGAACATCTGCACCCACAACAGACAACCACACAATGGCGGAGTGGTACGGGCGCAAGCAATAGCAAAAGGCTTTGATGAGGTGTGAATATATTGCCATGTGGACTGTTGTTCCACCCTGACCCTCAAGTTTAAGGTGCTGTTGCTAGCCTCAAAAGTTCGACCATACATATATGGCTTCACCACTTCACTAGATATCACCCTTCAGCACCCAATACTATGGAAATGGCCAAAGATGCAATGAGTTAGGGAACTTGTATCTACTTTCGAAGTAGAATGCTAAGCCTTACACATGAAACACGTGCTTGCAACAAATAGCCTTATACCTAATCGAGAGTAGTAAATGTGGTCGCAAAATTAAAATGTGGGATCTTTCTGTTAGTGTTAGCCCTCAATCTCACACTTTGTATTTTGCACTTTCTATATCCTAGCGTAGTGTATTTTGCACTTTGTGTTTAATTGGGTGTACACCTACATCCCAACCACATTTTGGAAGTTAGATCGCCCTGTTTATGGCCTTATGCAAGCCCCTCGTGAATGGCACAACAAAGTGAAAGAAGTCCTTCTCTCATTGGATTTTCACCCATCATCTGCTGACTCGACTCTCTTCATTTGCCGTTACTATGAGACATTCTACATCCTTGTCTACGTCGATGACTTCATCCTCGTTGCCAAGGACTCGGCCCAGATGACCTTTGTCTAGGCGGCCCTGAGCAAGGCCCTCCTGATGAAAGACCTCGGTGACCCTAAGCACTACCCGGGGATGGAGATCATTTGTGACCGCCAGGCTCGCACCATCTCACTCTCCCTGGAGTTTTGCATCAACAATGTGCTCAAGCGGTTTGAGATGGAGTTGTGCACACCTGTTGCCACCCCGCTGCCGCTGCAACATCTCCTCATAGCCCCAGCTGAACCCACACCAGAGGCTTGCTCTGAGCATACCCAGAGCTTGTTGGGTCCCTCATGTACGCCATGATGTGCACCCAGCCTGACCTGACATGCCCTGTCAGTGTCCTCTCTCGCTATGTGGCCCCTAGATGCTTTACTGATCTTCACTAGAAGGCGGAAAAGCTGGTACTGCGTTATTTGCAGGGCACCAAGTTCATGTTCTCACACTTGGTGGGCTTTCCCCTCCTCGACTGGAAGGTTACACCGACTCCTCCTGGGCTGATGACCAGACCGACCGACGCTCCTCTCAGGGGTACTGCTTCACCCTTGGGAGCGGAATTGTCACCTGGCGCTCCACCAGGTCGTCTGCAGTCTCCCTCTCCTCCAGCGAGGCAGAGCTCTAAGCTGGTACCGTGGCTACTTAAGAGGCCCGTTGGCTCACCTTCCTCTTCCAGGAGCTTGGCTACCCTCAACCCACCCGCACTCTCTGATGTGATAACAAGAGCACCGTCCGCCTTTCCCAAGATCCCGTGTATCACACTCGCACCAAGCACATCAAACTCCGGCACTTCTTCATCCGTGACCTTGTCCAGCGAGAGCAGTTGAATGTGGAGTACGTTGCATCTGACTGCAACTTGGCTGATCTGTTCACCAAGCCCCTTGGAAAAGTTCCTCACCACCGTCTCATTGGTGCCATAGGGCTCCTATGCTCCACCTTCTCTGCCTTAACTCGATTGACGTCTATGGGGGGGGTGTTAGTGTTAGCCCCCAATCTTACACTCTGTATTTTGCACTTTCTATATTTTAGCGTAGTGTAGTTTGCACTTTGTGTTTGGTTGGGTGTACACCTACATCCCAACCAAACCCAAATGTGATCTCCAAGCTATCTACAACCAACTAATTGGAGATTGTCTTGGGATTAACCGCAATCCCTAGAGATTGCCCCCGATTCCCCTCCCTATCCATTGCTTGCCCAACTCGGATGTACTTAAAGAGCTTCAAGCTCATTACTGATGTATGGATTCTATGTTTAAGTTCTGACACTTTCTAGGTGCTATACAGAAGCTCAGAACACCTTTTGTGTACTTTAAGACGCATAGGCAGTTCGCAGGAGATTGGTGGGCCTTTATTTTTCATAGTTACCCAACCAATGCGACAAAAACCTTGCACTGGTTTGTTTAATCGGGCCAACCAAAAGCCGAGTCATGAAAGGACTGCTCCAATCGAACACGTTCGTGTTCGAGTCGAACAGCTTCCTGTTCGTCCTTTCACACCCGAGTGTTTGACAAAACTCCAACTATTTTTGCAGAAAGTGTTCAATTCCAATCAAGCATGTTAGGTATGAGTTTGAAAGGTGCTCAGTTTTGTTCACCCCTTGCTTATGCCTACCTGAGAAGCACAAACCTGAGGGGCACATACACACCTAAGGGGCACATAGCTGACTGAGAGCCAGAGAGGGACACACCTGCAGTGAAGGTCCAGTTGAGGACGGAGTGTGCTTGTGGGCCGGCGGTGGACGAGGCTGTGAAGCCGACATAGAATGCAGCAGCAGAGGCCTTGGGCTGCAGGATGGAGCAGAGCGACACTCGGGCTCGCAAGATGGGGATGGGGGGCTGGTCGGGGTCGGAGGAGAGGAAGATTCGGAGGGTGCCGCCGCTGGTGGGGTCGTAGTGGATCCAGGCGTGCTTGGTGTGGGCGTCGTTGAGGATGAGAGGGGCCGTGGCAGAGGCGAGGGACACAGGTGAGCCGCCCACATTGACACCCACGTGGTTGTCGTTGGGGTTTCCGTGCTTCACACTCAGCACCGAGTCAAACTCCACCGCCACACTCCGCTTCCCCACCCCTCCCAGCCGGTCTGGCAGCGCCGCAGTGACGACAAACACGAGCCCATCCCCGCCCGCCTCTGAGTCCGGGTCGAGAGAGAAGGCAAGGGATACGTTGAAGGCGAACTGGTAACCGCATGTGGCCTTGGTGTTGAAGTAGGAGAAGAGGGGGAGAGGCGCGGCTGTGAAGGCCGTGCCCCAGGTGGCGTTGGCCTTGGGGGTCAGCAGCAGCGCGCTGCCAGCAGAGGTCAGCGCCGAGCCACTCAGCACCATGGGGGTGGCGGTAGAGGAGGCTACCACGGGGTCAACTGGAGGGGGGGGGAGATGATGGATGGACATCGTGGCTTAGTGAAAAAAAATCTAACAACAAGAAACATGAGGGGAAAAACAGATGGCGATTCAATTCAAGACTTGGTTACTTACTCGTGTATGTGCATGTGTGGGGGTCATTGCGAGTGGAGTAGTGCGCATCGCACACACACTCGCTCGTGCCGCTGCTGCTGTCATTCAAGAAGCAGTACCCATGCCCACTGCACAGCACCTCGCCCTGCCCCAGCCCACAGAACGCAGCACAGCTCGCGTTGCTCCTCTGCCGCTGGCTCGAGCCACAAAGCAAGGTGGGCAGGCAGTTGTCGAAGAGCCTCAGGCTGACATCAGAGCAGTTCTTAGGGCGGATGGGCGCGGAGGTGAAGTAGTTGCTCTGGATGTTAACAGATGCCAGGGCTGGGGAGGCTGGGATGGGCACGTCTCCTGTGAACTGGTTAAAACTCAGCAATCTGGGAAACAGGGATGGAGGGAGTAACGAGGGCAGTGACGAGGGCAGTGATAAGATGACGACTACCAGTACACCTGATACAGTACAGCACCAAATCCTCGGTCACGAATGCAAGGAGGGAAAAAAATGATGAGGTTATAGAGTAAGACGTGCGTACAGGTTCTTGAGCTTCTTCATAGGAGCCACGATGGGTGCCACATGTCCCGACAGATACATGAATGACAGCTCCCTGCCGCACAGCGCACACGAAAGGCAACGCAAGGGTGAGCTTGGTGCAAATTGAAAGAGCTACACAAAGAGAGGCAGCAAGCCATCGGCAGAAAATAAATCGAACCTGCATAGTATTTGTAACTTCGTACCCAAATGATGAACAAGCATTGAATAGCAACTCTGTTCTTGTCAACTCAACTCCAACTCGAGTCAACAAAGACCCGCAATTACGATTGCCTATCCACACAACCTGTCGGTCGGTAGGATGAGCAACGCACAAATCCAAACACGTTTGATCGAACCTTCTCGAACACCTTGAAATTTTGAACCGAACACGTTCGGTTTGCGGAGATAACTACTACAACGGGAGCTAGACTGCGGGCTAGGCACGGGTGCTCGTGTGATCTCTGCGTTCATACGTTCCTTAGTCGTTTCCAAGTCCTAACACTGCTTACTAGTTCACGGGGAAAATTGCAAGAGTTTCACTAGGAAATCATCACAACAAGAAAGTTCAGAATGAATTGCATCAACATTGGCAACACTGACTACATCAGACCTAGCAAGGCTTGCTGGTCCACTGCCAGCGCAGCACGGTCGACCGCGTGCCAGCACAACTCTGTCGACCGCGCTCCAGCAGAGCAGAGTCGCGGCTTGCCAACGTTGCAAGTCCGCGGTGCGCCAACGCTGCAGTATGTCGGCTGCACAACGTTGGCTTCGCAGGTGCGTGCAGCTGGTTGGCGCCCAACTCCCCGTCACACGCCCAGCGCAGACACTTCGCCCGTGACGGCGCCCACCAGCCACGTCGACCTCGGGATACCACCCCCGAGATCACCATCGTACAAAACAGTCCCGGCGACTTTCGCGTACGTCGCCCGGGTATCCTGGTTGACCGGGTACTTCGCGGTCCTCCCGCGGTTTCTCGGTCACCGCGGTCCTCCGCGGTTTCGTGGATCCACGATCCCCCGTGATTTCGTGGCTCCACAATCCCCCGGCTCCGCGGTCCCCCACGATTTCGTGGCTCCGCGGTCCCCCACGATTTCGTGGCTCCGCGGTCCCCCACGATTTCGTGGCTCCGCGGTCCCCCACGATTTCGTGGCTCCCACGGACCACTGCAATTTCGTGGCTCCCACGGACCACTGCAATTTCGTGGCTCCCACGGGCCACTGCAATTTTGTGGCTCCCACGGTCGGCTCAGGGTTTAGGGTTTCGTGGCTCCCACGGCCCCCTAAACCCTTGTTGTCCACCCTCAGGACCGTCGGCTTCCCAGCATCCAGCTGCTGGAACTCTGCCAGGAGGAAGCGAAGTCGACGTCCCTCCTTGCCGGCTTCGACGGCTGCCACGTACTCCGACTCGGTCGACGACAGTGTCGCGCACTTGATGCGCTGGCTCGACCAGGAGACCGCGGCCCCTCCGTAGACGAACACGTAGCCGCCCGTGCTCATCCGGTTCTGCTTGTCGCCGGCGTCGTCGGCGTCAACGTAGCCGACCAGCTCCAGCGACTCAGGTCCACCGCCAAACTCCAAGGCGGTGTCACGCGTGCTGGCGAGGTAGGCGAGGCAGCGGTCGACTTCGCGCCAGTGCTGGTCGCTCCTCACCGTGAGGCCGCTCCCCAGCTTGCTGCAGGCGAAAGCGATGTCCGGCCTCGTCGTCGTCGCCGCGAACTGCAGCGAGCCAACCTTCTGCCGGTACTCCTCCTCCTCGCGCTCCTGCGCCTCCTCGTCGTTGAACGTCAGCTCCGCGTAGGCGTCGACGGAGACCGGCGTCTTCGGAGTGCGCCCGGTCTGCTCCTCGTCGATGAAGCGCCTGCGCAGCTTGTCGGCGTAGCCCTGCTGGTGCAGCCACAATTTTCGCGCCGGCCTGTCGCGCACGATCTCCAGGCCGAGATACTTCTGCACCGGCGAAATCTCGCGCAGCTCGAAAGCGGCCTCCAGCAGCTCCTTCAGATCCTTCAGCATCGCGGTGCTACTGCTTGCGGCGAGAAGGTGGTCGACATAGACCAGCACCCAGCAGGCCACTCCGTCGTCACCGACCTTGCAATACAGAGCCTCGTCGACTTGGCTCTTCTTCCACCCGGCGCCAACCAACAGGTCGTTGAGAGCCGTGTACCACAGCAGTGGCGACTGCTTCAGCCCGTAGAGGCTCTTCAGCAGCTTGCACACCCGGCCGGTTCCGTCGTTGAAGTAGTCCGGCTGGTACATGTACAGCACGCGGTCGAGCTTGCTCTGCAAAAATGCGTTCTTCATGTCGAGCTGCATCAGGTTGAAGTCGAGGACTGCGACGATGCTGAGGAAGATCCTCAGCGTGACGTAGCTGCTCACCGGCGCGTACGTCTCGTCGTAGTCAGCGCCATACACCTGCGTGAAGCCTTTCACGACCAGCCTCGCCTTTTCGCGCTCGACAGTGTCGTCGATGCGGTACTTCGTGGTCAGCACCCACCGGTTCTTCATTATATTCACCCCCGGCGGGCGTTCGACCAGCTCCCAAGTGCCCATGTTGATGAGGCTACGAATCTCCTCCTCCATGGCTGCCTTCACCGCCGGGCCCTTCCAGCTCGCTAACGCCTCCTTCACCGTCATGGTCGAGATGTCCCAACGGTGCTCGGGACAGCGTGCATGTCGGGGTCGAGCTCCGAAAACTCCTCATCGTCTTCGGCGTCATCGTACGCCAGGTCGTCGTCGTCCACATCGTAGATCATGGTGAAGGCAGCGGGGACGAAGAAGTCGGGTGGCCTCCGAATTCGGCCCGACTTCCGAGGTCTGGGCTGCACCTCCACCACATCGCTCGATGTGCCTTCATCGAACTGCTCCCCTGTCGTCCGCTCCTCTGAAGCGAGCTCCGCGTTCGACTGCTCCCCTGACGACGGCTTCTCTGACATGCGCTTCCTGTTCGAGAGCTCCCCGGCCAACTGCTCCGCGGTTTCCTCCGCGGGCTTCTTCGCGGTCTCATCCGCGATCTCCTCTGCGGGCTTGTCCGTGGTCTCGTCCGCGGTCCCCTTCACGGTGATTTTCGCGGCTTCCTTCGCGGTGTGTTTCGCGGCTTCCTCCGCGGTGTTTTTCGCGGCTTCCTCCGCGGCCCGCTTCTCCACGACTGGCTGGGCATCACGTCGGCCACCGGCGATGCTCTTGGCCGGCGCCACAGGCGACTCCCCACGACTCCCCTCATCGCCGGAGGCCGACACCGAAGTCAAGCCACGCAGGCCGACGAGAAGGGGAGGGGAAGAAGGGGCAGGAGAGGGCGAGGCAGGCGCGACCGCGACATCCTCATCAGCCTGCTCACCGACCTCGGCGAGCAGAGGAAGCGTTGCCGTAGAGCTGTCCGTCGGCGGGTTGGCCCGCGTCCGCCCCGACGCAGGCCCGAATTCCGACTTCCACACCTCCAGCGAAAGAGTTTCGTAGAACACCACGTCCGACGTGGTGACCACCCGGTTGTCGGCGATGTCAAGGAGCTCCCAGCCCTTGCTCTCCTCCGACACGCCGAGGTGAAGGCCCCACCGGGCCTTCGGCTTCAGCTTCCCACCGCGCTGCTGCTCAGGGACGAGAAATTGTGCCATGCAGCCCCACACCCACGCCAGTGACAAGTCGGGCTTCTGCCCGGTGAGAAGCTGGTACGGCGTCGTCCCCGCGGGCAGCGACGACCGCTCCAGGCAGTTGCGAACCCAGACGGCCTGCCGCAGGGCGAGATGCCACCAGTGGTGCTGCACGCCCATGTGCAGCAGCATCGTCCGCACCGACTCCACCACCGTCCGCATCTCCCGCTCCGCCATGCCGTTCTGCTGCGAGGTGTAGGGCAGGTCAGGTCGTGGACGATCCCCTTTCCGTCCACGAATGCGGTGAACTCCCGGCTGAGGAACTCCCCTCCCCGGTCAGAGCGCAACTGCAATACCGACTTCTTCGTCTGCCGCTCCACCAGCACCAGCCACTTCTGCAGCAGCACGTCTGACTTCTTGGCGACCGGCCGCACCCACACGTAGCGGGTCTTGCGGTCCTTCAGCAGCAAGAAGTACAGGCTGCCGTCCTTGGCAGCCACGCGAAACGGCCCGCACAAGTCGATGTGCACGACGGCCAGAGCGTCCTTGGCGTCGGAGCCTTTGTCGGGGAAGGTGTGCCGCGCCAGCTTCCCACCGACGCACGAAACGCAAGGCGAGGCAGCGCCGGACGCCGACTTGAGGTCCAGCCCGGTGGCGACTTCGTGCTTCGCCGAGCTCAGGATGGTGTCCATACCGACGTGCGCGAGCCTCGCGTGCAGTCTGTCCGGCGTCGCCTTCGTCGCCGAGACGATGGCCCGCAGAGCCACTTCCTCCGCTGCAGTCGACACCGAGCAGGGACGCAGGTCGGTGCAGAGGACCCGGCCGGAG